GAGAGAGAGAGAGAGAGAGAGAGAGAGAGAGAGAGAGAGAGAGAGAAAGTAAGTGTCCCCATAGGGATTATATGAGGATTTTCATTGTATTGATATTTGTGGAAAAGAAGAGTAACTTGAGGACATTAGATTGACAAGATGTGGTGAACTCACATCCCACATTCATAGGTATATATATATATATATATATATATATATGTATGTGTGTGTGTGTATATATATATATGTGTGTGTGTGTGTATATATATATATATGTGTGTGTGTGTATATATATAACAAAAAAAACCTCATTAAACAGAATGGTTGCCATGGTTTTAGGGTAAAGAGATCTGGGAGTGAACAAAGGAGAATGCATTAAATCTAACCAACAATGAAAGGATTTATTTATTTTTGTTAATCCTTTCCTCTCTATTCTTTCCCCCACCTCTCTCTCATCTATCTGTCTATCTACCTACCTATGTATCTAATCAAAAAGGTCTCCCTGTCCTCTCCTTTCTTTCTTCTAACCCTATCTCTCCCTCTGTGTTTTTGTTTCTCTCTCTCTCAGCTCACTATCATTCTGGGGAATCCAGCTGTCATGGTGAGCAGCTCTACAGAGAGGCCCATGCAGTGAAGAATTGAAGCCTCTAAACAATAGCCATGTCGGTCAGTTTGGAAATGGATTCTTCTCAGCCTACCCTTAAGATAACTGTGGGCCCAGATAATAGCTGGATTGGAATATTATAGAGATTTTGCACCAAAATCACTTAGCTTATCTGCTACCAGATTTCAGGCCCACAGAATCCCTGAGATTAAAGAAAAAGTTTGAAGATTTAGGCTACAAAGTTTTAGATAATTTGTTACACAGCAGTATATAAGTAATAGCCAGGAAATCAACTCTTAGGTACATATTCCAGGAACACTTGATCAGGTGCCTAAGCATGTTCCCTGAAACACTAATTATGATAAAAATAGATGGAGGCAAATAGATTTTCATCACTATCAGAATAAAATAAGTAAAATATGACAATTTCAAAAATGTAATGAAACCGTGCCCCAAAGAGTAATGAAAATAGTAACTAATAGAAATCTTTAAGTTTGCAGATTGTAGATAAGAAAACAACTTGTTGAAATGTTGAAACATTATCTGCTTGTAAGATAACAAAACTGGCTACACTCAGAACCAATATGGCCAACTGGAATTTATGCAGAATTAGCTTGCAGACATCACATGTTTTATATGAACTCGCCCTGAATTTGCACATGAGACCCATGAAGAGGCATGAAAAACTAACTGCACCCAGAAGGGACTTCCAGACCTCCCCTTTCCTTCCACAAATTACGTACTAATTCTCAGACTACACCATCTAAATCTTTTCCAATACAATTACTGCCTTAAAGTCAGCAGGGGAAAACAAGTTTGAACTAGTCTCCTGTCTTCTTGGTCGACTTCCAGTAAAAAGCTTCTCTTTTCTCAAGAACCTGGTGTGATAATATTGGCTTTTAGTTCATTTGGGCAGCAAGCATCACTGGCTTGGTAACAGTAATACCATAATAAAACACTAGAAGAAATAACTAGATTGGACAGATAGATCTTCAAAACACAATAAATTGTACAAAAATGTTACACAAATAATCATTTATAATGAAATTCTTAAGAGATAAAACAGACTTAGAGAAAACTGACATTTAAGTTTAAAAACAATCAGTTTATTATTTATAAGTAATCACAGATACACAAATACAAATATATTTCCTGATTATGAGCGAGAAGAACAGAAAAATATATATTAGACTAAAATTAAGAAATGAATATGGGATACACCAAGACCTTTGATAATGCCTGCCCATAAACTGAGGAGTATGTACACTCTCCTCTGTGTAACTGAAGTCCAATAATACTTTAACATACTACATGAAAATGTGAACCAGTGCTACAACCTCAATTAAGCATAAATTCAAACAATTTTGAACAAAAAATGAGGTATTAGAATAATAATTGGATCATAGTAAAGAATTATTTATTCTAAGAATGCAAATCAATATTAGAACATATGGTATTTTAATGTATTAGCATACAGAAAAATATAAGGTAACTAAATTTGACGCATTTAACAAAATAAATACTTTAATATCTTTCAATCAGTCTTTCCTTTTTTAAACATTATTTTATTTTATTTTTTTCCATTTTATTGCATTTTAGGTTTTGGGGTACATGTGAAGAACATGCAAGATTGTTGCATAGGTACACACGTGGCAGTGTCATTAGCTGCCTTCTTCCCCATCACCTACTTCTGGCATCTCTCCCCAACTCCCCACCCCTCAGCGTCCCTCCCCTATTCCCCCCAAATGACCACAGTGTGTAGTACTCCCCTCCCTGTGTCCATGTGTTCTCATTGTTCAACACCCACCTATGAGTGAGAACATGCAGTGTTTGATCTTCTGCTCTTGTGTCAGTTTGCTGAGAATGATGGTTTCCAGGTTCATCCATGTCCCTACAAAGGACACAAACTCATCGTTTTTGATGGCTGCATAATATTCCATGGTGTATATGTGCCACATTTTCCCTGTCCAGTCTATCATCGATGGGCATTTGGGTTGGTTCCAGGTCTTTGCTATTGTAAACAGTGCTGCAACGAACATTCGTGTGCATGTGTCTTTATAGTAGAACGATTTATAATCCTTTGGATATATACCCAGTAATGGGATTGCTGGGTCAAATGGAATTTCTATTTCCAGGTCCTTGAGGAATCACCACACTGTCTTCCACAATGATTGAACTAATTTACACTCCCACCAACAGTGTAAAAGTGTTCCTGTTTCTCCACATCCTCTCCAGCATCTGTTGTCTCCAGATTTTTTAATGATCGCCATTCTAACTGGCCTGAGATGGTATCTCAATGTAGTTTTGATTTGCATTTCTCTGATGACCAGTGATGATGAGCATTTTTTCATATGTTTGTTGGCCTCATGTATGTCTTCTTTTGTAAAGTGTCTGTTCATATCCTTTGCCCACTTTTGAATGGGCTTGTTTTTTTCTTGTAAATC